ACCCATATTGGGTGGCTCCCATCTGCCTCTAACTTCCCTTCCAGGGGAACCAACACCTCTGGCCATCTTGGGCCCTGCACTCACGTGCACATACAGCCCTCTGCACATGTAATTTAAAATAAACAAAATGTATAAACAAGCCAAAGTTTCCTAGAGGGAATCTAAGGGAGGTGGTTCAATTGAGGAATAGAGGGGTTTCTGGTATGAAACGTTCCTGAAGGTCTCCTTCCCACCGAAAGGAGGATGCTCAGGAAGTGGGCCCCTTGCTGGCTTGCTTTTCATTTGTGGTTTTAGATACTGATGAAATACAAGCTATAACCCACCCCTCTCCTACAGACTTCAATGCTGACGATAGATGAATAACTACTTTTAGGAAACATACCTCTTTTTTTTTAACCAAGAAAATCTCAGCATCACAACATATCATAATCTCCAAGAGGCTAATTTAGCATTCATATGATGGAGGAGGGTCTTCTGTCTATGTGTTACTTTTATTGGTTAATAAAGAAACTGCCTTGGCCCTTTGATAGGACAGCAGCTTAGACAGGCGGAGTAGACAGAACAGAATGCTGGGAGAAAGAAGCAGATTCAGGCAGTCGCCATGACTCTCCTCTCTGAGATGGATGCAGGTTAAGATCTTTCCCGGTAAGCCACCACCTCGTGGTGCTACACAGATTATTAGAAATGGGTTAAGCAAGATGTGAGAATTACCCAGTAAGAGGCTAGAGTTAATGGGCCAGGCAGTGTTTAAAAGAATACAATTTGTAAAAAGAAAAAAAAGACTACAATTTGTGTGTTGTTATTTCAGGGCATAAGCTAGCCAGGCGGCCGGGAGCCAGGTGGCAGGAACGCAGCCTGCTGCACCCTCTACAGATTGGCGCTGGCCTGCCTGCGGTTCTCACTACATTCATATGTACAGGTCATACCAGGATCTCCCGTTTCCTGAGCATCTACCATTACCGACCTGCGGGAGTGCTTCCTAGAGATGCAGGTCCGGAAACGCCATGCTTTCAGACCCCACATGGAAACAGGCAGAAGGGGTGGTCTGAACACCATTCCTGCCCTGATAGCTTGAGAAAGTATCTCCATTCTATTATTGAAGAACTTATTTTCCAGACTACCTCAATCAATATTTTCAAATCACCATGACACAGAATTTGATAAACTCACCCATGATGGTGACAAAGGATCTGGCTGACCCTTCCACTACATCGCTTGGCAATTCCAGAAGTATTCTCTTTGAGACTTTAGTACCTGAAAGAAAATACCCATACAAACACTGCAAAGACTTCCCTCTACAAGTCATGGCAGCAGAATTTTGGAACAGCTGTATTAGGAAGAAAAGGCCATTGGCTAGTTTTGCCTTTGGAAAAAATAAAATTGTGAATTTGGGACGTGAGATGGCTCAGAGGGTGATGGCACGTGCCACCAAGCCTGATGATCTGAGTTCGAGCCCTGGGACCCACGGGTAGGAGGAGAGAAGGAACTCCTGCAAGTTGTCCTCTCACTTGCACACTCCCAGCGACTTGCAATGAACACTCACATACGTGCATGCACACACACACACATTGTACACACAAATAAAGGTAATAAAAGCTCTTTTTAAATAAGCTGAGAATTTGAGCTAGTTTAGAACAGCAAAACATCCAAAAAAAAATGCATACTTTGTCTTAAACAGTGGTCTCCATTTTCTATCAGTTCAGTACTTAAACTGTTTATGGAAAAAATGAAAGATATAAGACTCAGCTCATAGAAGGAATGCTTAAAGACAGAGTAGACATTAAAATCAGATTTCACCAGCTAAAATGATACTCACGATGGCCACAAATAAGGTAACTGAGGGCCAGTAATGAATTTACAGATGATTTCGTACCAAGAATATAAAAGTAACCACTATGCTAGTGAAAGTCCATTCATCAAGACCATGAGACCATCATAATAATCCATATGGAGACTAATCTTATCAGACAAACAAGTAAATGTCACTCAGTAATGCACATTTGGCTTACTAAAAATTATCTATCAATGAAGATGAAATGTAGGCCCATATTTCTATATGACATGGCAGCCAAGCCATCAAGCCATAGACCACACTTGAGATGGGTCACATATCCTGCCAGGCAGGCTGTCCCTAACCTAACAAAAGGTCAGGATGTTTTGCTCCTTTCTTTGTAATTTGGAGGATGCCTTAGAGAGATGCTGATTCCAAGCCTATGTGACAGCTAGCATACAGAGCAGACAGGTAGTTGTGGACGTGAGGAAAAGCCATTCACCTGGTTACCTAGGAGACAGAATGCTAATGTATTTCCCCTAAATTAAGTTTTGGTATAAAGGCTGTTTGGAGAATAAATGAGAAAAAAATTTTCAGGATGTGAATTCAGGATATCATGAGGGATCTCTGAGAATTTCCCTCCCAATGAAACCATGTGAGTAGTGTCTTTATTCCCATCTCCTCCACGATGGTCCAGAGAGAGATAGTTTATGTTGCAGTCTGGTAGAGAAATAATTTATGGTCCAGGCTAGCACCAGACCCCAACAATAAAACATGAAATAAAGTAACACCCCCAAGAGAAACTTATAATGCATCCAGATGCTAAGTGGGTTCTTGACTTGTGGCTTGTGCACAGGCTGAGGAGGTAAACCTGCTGTGCTCTAGGACCAGCTGACCACGTGGAGAGCCCTCTTACCTTCTGTGCAGATAAGGAAACTCTGGCTTGTTTCTTTTTCTATACCTTCAGGCTGTTAGACAGTAAACAAAAACAAGAACAGGATAATAAGTTGAACCACTTTTAGCTGAAGGAAAGGAGACCAAACATCAGTTCCCAGAGGCATGACTGGATCAGGGTTGTCCCTGACCTTATTATGTGAAAGTTTATGGACAGTACCAACACCCCTCTAGACCCGCGACTCCCATAGGTTGTGCAAAGATAACCCTGTGTCACTGAGTGACACTTTCAACTGCTCTGTTGATTTTTTTTTGAGGATAAAAGGAACTGCTCATAAACATAGAGACAATGGTTTCATCTCTTGGACTTTAGGATCAGTTAATAAGAAGGTTGGAGAATTAATAAATGGGACCTCCTGAAACTGAAAAGCTTCTGTAAAACAAAGGACATGGTCAACAAGACAAAATGACAGCCTACAGAATGGGAAAAGATCTTCACTAACCCCACATCAGACAGAGGTCTGATCTCCAAAATATACAAAGAACTCAAGAAATTGGTCATCAAAAGAACACATAATCCAATAAAAAAATGGGGTACACACCTAAACAGAGAACTATCAACAGAGGAATCTAAAATGGCTGAAAGACACTTAAGGAAATGCTCAGCATCCTTAGTCATCAGAAAGATGCAAATCAAAACAACTCTGAGATTCCATCTTACACCTATAAGAATGGCCAAGATCAAAAACACTGATGACAACTTATGTTGGAGAGGCTGTCGGGTAAAGGGAACACTTCTGTATTGCTGGTGGGAATGCAAGCTGGTACATTGGATGTCAGTGTGGCGATTTCTCAGAAAATTAGAAAACAACCTTCCTCATGACCCAGTAATACCACTTTGGGGGTATATATCCAAAGGATGCCCAATTGTGCCACAAGGACATGTGCTCAACTATGTCCATAGCAGCATTGTTTGTCATAGCCAGAACCTGGAAACAACCTAAATGCCCCTCAACCGAAGAATGGATAAGGAAAATGTTGTACATTTACACAATGGAATACTACACAGCAGAAAAAAATAATGGCATCTTGAATTTTGCAGGCAAATGGATGGAGCTAGAAAACATCATTTTGAGTGCGGTAACCCAAACCCAGAAAGACAATTATCACATGTACTCACTTATAAGTTGTTTTTAAACATAAAGCAAAGGAAACCAGCCCACAAATCACTATCCCAGGGAACCTAGACAAAAATGAGATCCCTAAGAGAGACATATAGATCTAGTCTACATGGGTAGTAGAAAAAGACAAGACCTCCTGCGTCAATTGGGAGCATGAGGACCTTGCGGGAGGGTTGAAGTGGGGAGAGGAGAGACAGGGAGGGGAACAGAGAGAAATGTAGAGCTCAATAAAAATCAATTAAAAAAAAGAGGGTTGGGGAGAAGATCTAAAGGCTGCTTCACATCAAGAAGGGAGACAAGAAACCACAAAGCAGGTTTCAAGGGTCCTCACCATCCTTGGTGAGGCTCTGTTGGTTGATTGGCAGATGTTGGGAATAGAACCTAGGGTCTCGCACAGCTAGGCAAGTCTTTTCCCACTGAGACATATACTCAGTGAAGGCCGAGGTGTTGGCTTAAGAAAGGATGGATGTATAGTACTATAATTTGTTCAAAGCAGAAGGTTTGTGTCAAAAGTAACTTTGGTCAATTAAGCATTTTCAAAGAGAATGTCCCAGTTAACCTCTTAGACTCTGTTTCCCTTCATGGAGAACTTGGTATTTCATAGGTACATACCTCTACCAGGAAGCCTTTGACCACCGTGTCTTTCCAGTTGACATCTTGCTGCTTGCTGGCATCATTTGGGCAGGCACTACTTTGTTTGGATGTAGCCACTACAGTAACATTCACTTTACCTGGAAAATATTGCCAAGAATAAGATAAAGAATACTGACACCTTCTCCAATGGGGCATGCTTCAAGTTTATCAATCATCTTGAATAGGATGAACCAAACTCTTATAATCTCACAACAGTTTAGACTACCAGCTTCTTCTCCTGCCTGGAGAGAAGGCAATATGTCTTTCTTGTTCTACATATTTCAAGATTCTCTGTAGTAAGTTACTTATTTATTCCCTTAGAATTTACAAAGTATTTTTTTTCCAATCTGATGCCTTTTTAATTAACCAAATTGCAGGTTTTTTTATTTAAATTGGGTTTGCACTGTTTTAGGGTCCAAACCAAAGTTTTCCTTGGCCTTTCTTTAGGAGGAATAGAGTCCAGGGTTTGCAAGCCACAAAGTCCGGGTCAGGCTACCCCTCCCATCCCCCAGTCACCAAGTTTATTTGGCCGGAGGGTTTCTGGCCTTGACCCCACCACCGTAGTGGTGCATCACATAGCGGCTGGCCTGCATGCTCTGGGCCACCACGTTGGTGAAATGGCACGCCATTAGCAGGTAATTTCGAGGCTGGACCCGGTAGGCAAAGCGCATGAAAGCCATGGAGTAGAACATGAGCGCCGTCGTCATGCGGCCACTGATGATGTCGGGAGGAGCCTTCATATCCTTGAAGGCGGCCAACGGAAGGCCCCAGTTGGCCACAGGACCCCAGAAGTGGGTGCTGGTTATGTAATCCCGGAACTCCTGGGTCTTCACATAATCTCCAGTTTTCCGTACTAGCGCTGCGAGCCCCGACATGGTCGCCCCAGTGGGAGGAGTGGTAACGGCCAAGATGCCAGCCAACAATGGAACCCCGAACGCCGACCTCGCAACGGACCCTGACGCAGCAACAGCCAACGGCCAACTTACAAAGTTTTAAGAAAGATAACATTCTATGAACCTGTGCTAACACCTTGAGATTGGACAATATAACATCAGATATCTGGGGCTTCTCTTCCTTCCTTCCTTTTTTTTGGAGATAGGGTCTCACCATGTAGTCCTGGCTGACCTGGAGCTCCCTACATAGACCAAGCCTAGAATTCACAGAGATCTACCCACCTCTTCCTCCCGAGGGCTGGGACTAAAGGCGTGCACCACCCTTCCTGGCAGTAACCAGGGTTTCTAATGTTTCCCAGGATCAAAGAAAAATGCCACCACACCTAGTAATAACTGCTGCTTCTGATGTTTTCTAAGACCAAAGAAAACCAGTAAGATCTGATACAGCACAAGGGCCACCAGATTTAAACAGAGTGCTGGCAAGAAATCTGTCGATTTAATTTCTGTGGTATCACAGTATGCAATCAAAACTGATCTCCAGTATCCTTGTTTATAGAGAGGAGGATTGGGAAAGCTTATAAGACTTAACATCGCCTGTGTGCTGTAGACATAACCAACATATTGTTTCTCTGTCTTTGTGTGAATTTTGCACATTTCTTTCTGTGCTTTGCACAGCCCTTGAGCATCACCAAGACATAGCGTGTGAAGTATTCTGTCTCCCTTTCCGGAATGAGATATTTGAAGATCTTACATAGTATAAGGATTAATAAGTTTAAATCTAAATAGAAAAAAGGTCTGAGGTGAATCAATATCACAGATGAATCAAAAACATATTCTCTCCTGATGTAATAAATACAAGACATGGAATAAAAGAATTTTAATGACATAATTTAAAAAAGATTTTCTCAAACTAAGAATCATCTACATTTAGCAGTTTTGGTTCACTAAACTTTTAAACTTTTCCTTCCCTGGTATCATCAGCAAGAGACTTCCGCAGACACTTTTCTAAACTGCCAGGCACTAGAACAAAGTTCTCAGTATTCAATCCAATGGTTGGGTTTATTGTATCTGGTGAGCTGTTACATTTAGTTTAGAAAAATCCCAGTGACTCTCACAATTGATGGTTTTGTCTGAGGAGAATTTTTTTTTTAAAAGAAGCTCTCCTTTCATAAGCCTATTGTTTTTTTTTTAATATTTATTTATTTATTATGTATACAATATTCTGTCTGTGTGTATGCCTGCAGGCCAGAAGAGGGCACCGGACCCCATTACAGATGGCTGTGAGCCACCATGTGGTTGCTGGGAATTGAACTCAGGACCTTTGGAAGAGCAGGCAATGCTCTTAACCTCTGAGCCATCTCTCCAGCCTCCTGAGGAGAAATTTTTGTAAAAGTGACATTTTATGTGAATGTTGGGTAAAGCAGCAAATGCCAGAATCACAGTAGCATTGGAGAGATCTGGTTTTTATTTGGGATATGTTATGTGGACTTGATAAATCATGCACATTAGCGTTTGCGCCATATTTTAATCTTATTAAACTTTTTGTGTGAATGAATGGGGTTTTGTTCTGCAGAGTACTAAGTAGGTTATAGGGCTGGAGAGAGGGCTCAGTGCTGGAGCACTTGCTGCTCTTGCAGAAGACCTGGGCTTGTTCCAGCACTCACATAAGACAACTCACAACCATCGAGTTCTAAAGGAACACCCTGTCCTCAATTCCCCAGGCATTGCATGCACGTGGTGCACATACATACACGCAGACACATACATACACACAGACTTTTCAACAAGGAAATTATAAGAATTTTGAATATAGGGAAATGAATAAAGGAAATTAAAAAATATGATGCTGAAGAAAAAAAATCATGTTTCTTCAGGAAATCTAAGAAAAGCAGAGGTTGATAAGGATCTGGGTCAATCCGCAAAAGATTGCTGCTTACCCAGTGTCTTTGGTACAATGGTCCAGACATAAGTTTTTCGTTCTCCAGCCTGGAGAACATCACTGCCGTTGTTACTCATGGTGTTGCTATTTGCTTCATAATTCTCAGATGCTTCTAACTGAACAGAAATCTAAAAACAGAACAATGGCCATGGATTTAAATTCTCTCACCTTTGCTTGAAATTCTACAGTTTATCACACAATGATTTCTTCAATGTCTCCCGAGAACTTGGCATTTTTCATCTTAAGAAGATTTTCTTATTTTAACTTAGGAAAATGAAAAGATGCCCAAGGATTCATTCACAAGTTCACAAAATAGTAGAGTGTGTATCATCACAAAATGACATCCTCACTAAAATTTCAAGTCATTGTTGTGATGCAAAACAATTATTTCTGGGGCTGTAGAGGTCACCCAGCAGTCAAGAGCACTTGCTACTCTTAAAGAGGAGCTGGGTCCAGTTCTTAGCATCTATGAGGCAGCTCACCGCAGCCAATAACGTCAATTCAAGGGGCTCTGATGTTTTTTTTTTCTGACCTTGCATACATGTAGACCATGCAATCATACTCAGAAAATAAAATTAAAACTGTAAATAATGATTCCTAAAGATTATGGAAAGAAATGACTTCCTTATAGTACAATTTTTTATTTGTAAATAGACTATGGTGATATTTAATGAAAAGACTAGTGAATAATTTAGCTGGCTGGATTTTTGTTTCCAGATCAAGGGGGTGACTTACCTCTACACACGTGCTCAGGTAGCTGAAGACACTGACAGCCACGTCACTCTGCTCATGCCGAACGACAGAGAAGGGTGAGGCAATTTCAACGAAGAAGGGCTGGGAGCTCTGTAGATACGCTTTGGGTGAGATGCCAAACCCAGCTTCACCATTCACACAGAAGGCGCTGGCCTCCCATTGGGTTATAGTATCGGGAACAAGGAATGAGACATTTGCTGAACCTGAGGAACTGAAAAGACAAGCTGTGGGTAACCTATGTCCTCTAAATGGGAACCCAAGTTTAGGCAGAACACGCACAAAGGCAGTGACTTCAGGAGTTAGGTAAGGCATTGTTACAGATCCCTGGTCTGAGTGTCTGTAGAAGCGAACCTTAGAAATGCCATATTTCTATAAACATCTTTTTTAAAGAACTGAGGTAGCATATACCTACCTGCATGAAATTTATAGGAGTGAAGGTTTGGTGGAAAAGTAAAGTTTTACAGAACAAATAAACAAACAAATCATCAAACATTCATGATCAGGATGTACAAGTGAATGATTTTTTTTACAAATACTTTATTACTTTATTGCCCAGGAATAAAAGTTAACAAATCAAAAGAAGAAAAATAGAAATGGAGATATACAGGGGAGAACTCTGTTTTAGAAAAAAACCTAAGAAGTAGCAGAAAAGTAAAACTCACTCCACACTGATGAGGTCCCATATCCAGGTCTTGGGGAAGTGCGTCCTGACTGTCTCTTTGATGGCCTGTTCTGCCTGGTTGATGCCATCTGTGATGTCATGAACTAAAATGAGAAAGGAGGAGGGCAAAGAAACGTCCCATGTAGAAATAGCAAAAGTGCGTGCTGTGCTTCAGTGCCACAGGCCTCACTAAGCTCTGTGTGTGTGCGTATGTGCATTTGTGCATGTGTGTTTGTGTGTGCACTAGTGCATGTGTGCGAGTTTGTGTGTGTGTGTGTGTGTGTGTGTGTGAGAGAGAGAGAGAGAGTGATGTATGACCCTCTGTGAACATACTAGTGGACAGGTTGATTTCCTCACTTGCTTTTCTGTCTTGATTTCTGAGGTAGTGTCTCACTGAACACCTCGAGTCAGCTAGACTAGTGGGTCACTAATCCCTGTAGACTACCCACCCGTCTCTGCTCCTGAGCACTAGGGTGACAGATGTGCACTGAAATGCCTGGCGTTTATGTGGGTGCTAGGGATGTGAACTCAGGTCCTCATGACTGCACAGCAAACAATTTACCCACTGAACCATCTTCCAGGCCCTTGAGTTGAGCTCTTGACTATATCGGGCCTAGTATGTCTTAGCATGAGGTGATACAGAAATTCGCTTCTAGGGCTTAACACTGATAAGTTCAAATCTCAATCTGGGTGTTACGATTTTATGCTCAAATTCCTGTTTGTTTAAAAGTTACTACAAATAGGACTGGAGAGATGGCTCAGTGGTTAAGAGCACTGACTGCTGCTCTTCCAGAGGTCCTGAGTTCAATTCCCAGCAACCACATGGTGACTCACAACCATCTGTAATGAGATCTGGTGCCCTCTTCTGGCATGCGGGCATACATGGAGGCAGAATGTTGTATACATAATTAAATAAAATCTTTTAAAAATAAGGTGAGCATCCAAACTGCCTAGGCTCCCACAAAGCCAGTACATGCAGTAGAATCAAAAACCCACTGCCATTGTTCTTGAGTTCTCAGTATTCCTCATTGTCCGCTATGTTCAGCTAGTCCGCATTTATCCCATGCTTTTTCAGACCCAGGCCAGCTGGCCTTGGTGAGTTCCCGATAGAACATCCCCATTGTCTCAGTGTGTGGGTGCAGGCGGTCCTTGGACTTCCCACAGATCAGGGAACCCTGATTGCTCTTCGAGCAGATGAGGGAGGGGGACTTAATCGGGGGAGGGGGAGGGAAATGGGAGGCGGAGGTGGGGAGGAGGCAGAAATCCTTAATAAATAAATAAATTAAAAAAAAACAACAAGGCATATTCAAGCACCATTTTAACATGTAAAGAGACCATTCTCCCATCATACACAAACAAAGAGAACTTGGCAATAATCAATATGAAATTTTGTGCTAGCATAAAGGATTTTAACAACAACAACAAAAATCTTTTAAAAATAAGAATACAAAAAGCCTTTAAAAAAAGCTACAACAAATAAACAACAAATCACCTGCAGCCAAATCTGGATGGATTAAATCTCTGCCCTGACTCTTGGCTGACACGCCAGTACCTGCCAACTTTGCCCACTGATATTATTCTTGCTGAAGTTTTCAGTGGCGTTACTATTTCTAATCCTCCAGAACACTG